TGTCTCATTAACACGAAAAAATAAAACCATATAAAAGAATAGATTTATGAAATCAAAAGAAGAGAACATGAGAATCACTGGGCAAAAAGTTTTCAAATGAAAAAATTCAACCAGAAGAAGATCATAAATCAAAGTTTACATTTAAAAACGAAATTTTTGATCAATGAAAGAAAAATTTCATTTACATAACTGATCAAACCACTCATAGAATACATTATAACCACGAATAGATGATTCCATAAGCACAAAACACATAAATATTCATCATATAAGTGAAGTGATAATGATTCAAAGCAACGACTCAAAAAAAATTCTAAGAGAGGCAACAATTATATCAAGCTCTTGAGCTTGTTCCCAACCCATATAATCATTTTAGCACCGGTAAACTTGCATTTGGGATAAACACCGCAATGAACCCGGAGGGTATATAAGACAAACCTCTCATCAAAACAAAACAATAAGTCATGAAAACAAAAGATTTTTATGACATAATTTAAAACCAAGAAAGGAAAAAGATATAATGACCCCTAAGGGGTGATTGGTCAGAGAGCTCTAATATGGCAATTTAAAAAACTCAGCACAACAAACCAACAAAACAGAAGTGCAAATCAAATAGAAAGAATAGAGTTTAGGAAATCGTTATCTTGACGGCGCGATGTGTTAACGGAGGTTCGGCCGCGACCACGTCCCGCTCCCCGCACTCTCGGAGAAATCCACTAAAACACATCCGGTTGGAAAGCCGGAACTTTCGTACTACACAGCGATCCCACAAGATCTCTCTCTCACTAGACACAGTTTGATCTCACAGATCACACTCTCACCTCACAGTAGACTCCACAGATCTCAAAACAACACAGCAAGGACAGAAGAAAAAAAAAACAAGTAATGAACCTCTCTTACACAAGGCGCCTATAGCAAAAGAAGAGTACTAGAAGCTGGGAAGTGAAACACACTTGAAAACAAGGAGACAAACAAGAGTTTTGAAAAATTTTCTCAGGAAACAGAAAAAGCTCTCTGGTTTTGCAAAGGGGGGGCGGGGGGGGGGTTTTGGCTTAGGGCTTGGAGGAAGAAGAAGAGGTCTGGGGATTTTATAGGAAGAGTTAAATCATTTTAAAACAACAAACAAATCTACCCAAATGAGTATAATAATGTCGTTCTTAAGACCCTCATCACAGACTGTGCCAATGCACTAACCAAGTGAAAAGCACAGGGTCGAGCAACGAACGACCGTTTTAAAAAGTCGCGGCTGAACAGAGCTAAAATCGTTAACCGAAGAAAATATCGCTCGACCGAAAATACTCTTCGGTCGACGACCGAAAAAATCGTCGACCGCCAGCAGCTAAGGAGTTTTGACAAAACATCGCAGAGACTTCATCGTCGACGATCACGGTCGACCGATATAAGGGTTGAAGAAATTCGGTCACCGTCGTCGACCGACGAGCACTCTGGAGACATAAGTGAAGAAAGGTCATCGGAATCGGTCGAACCGGACGGTCCGACCCGATTTCTGAGCATAGTTTGAATCAGGTTATTTGACGGCACTGAAATATTTGTAAAATATCTTGTTTTTGACTCTGACAAATTCTGAAACTTTGAAAATGTTTTAATACTAAAAAACAAACTATTTAAGAAAAAGAATTTTGCAGATAGGTACTATACTTTGTAGAATAGTGTTTTGTGAAAAAACGCTAAAAACACAGTCTAAAAACGTGTGTGTGATTCGCCAATATAGCTTCAAGTAAACTCAGTGACTCTTGCCTACAATCTAGCACTAGAGAGAAAAAAAAAGAAAGCTAATATCCTCCATATAGAGAGCAATATACTTGAGCTTAGATATAGCTTGAATCCGTATGAAAGGGGCTTTTGAAGTCAACTTTGTCGTTTCTTGAAATAACGTTGCTTCATTCTCTTGCCTCCTCCTCCTTTGGATATCTTCGTGTAGGCAATATCCATCCATGCCTCCGTTAAGTGCACTAACGAGCTTGACAAATGATTTTACTACATTTACACTCAATAAGCCATTAGTACGCATAATGGTGGTTGTAAGAACATCATCAAAACATAAGGGCTAACAATCTCCGCCCTTTTTGATGATGAAGCAACCATTAATAAAGGCAAAAAAAAATAACTTATAGATAGGTGCTCCCCTATCTATGAGCTCCCCCAAATATATGCAAAAAATGAGGAGATTTTCTCTCCCCCTTTGTCACCATCAAAAAGAGAATGCAAAATGCAAAATGCAACTAATCAAGCAAACAATGTAGAATTCTTTCACATAGTGCATAAGCCAAACCATTTTCTTAGCAAAGATCATCAATCATCCAAGAGGCTTAGTAAATATATATCCGCTAGTTGAGATTTGGTGTCGACAAATACTAGGGATACATCTTGTCTCTTACATGATCGCGTAGAAATGATGGCGCACATCAATATGCTAGTTCTAGAATGCAAACGCGAATTTTGAAATATTTATGGCAGCTTGTGTTATCACAAAAGATTTTAATATTTTGAAAATTCAAATCATAGTCAAGCTAAACTTGTTTCATACATAAAACTTGAGCACAACAATAGAGCCGGCGGCAATGTATTCCGCTTCTCGTAGTGGACAATACAACACAATTTTGTTCTTGGAAGCCCAAGAAACAAGGGAATTTCCTAAGAATTGGCATGTTCGCACTAGTACTCTTGCGATCTACCTACATCCGGCAAAGTCGGCATCACAAAATCCATATAAATCAAAATTGGTACTTTTGGATAAAAACAAACCAAGGTTAAAAGTTCCATTAACATACTTAATGATTCTTTAACCGCAATTAAATGAGACGCTTTGGGAGAAAGCTGAAAACGTCACATGCACATACACTAAACAGTGATTCGGGTCTACTAGCTGTGAGATAAAAGAAAACTACCTATCATACTGCGGTATAGTTTTTGGTCCACATCTTCTCCACTCTCATCGCATCAAGCTTAACACTAGTACTCATAGGAGTAGGCGTATGCTTAGAATTCTCCAACTTGAATTTCTTCACCAATTCCTTCGCATACTTGCTTTGAGAAATAAAGATCCCATCCTCAGTTTGCTTGACTTGGAGCCCGAGAAAGAATGTAAGCTCTCGCATCATACTCATCTCAAAAGTGATCCTGCATAACTTTAGAAAATTCCTTGGCACAAGGGATTCATTAGTAGCGCCAAAAATAATGTCATCCATTATATTTTGAACTAAAATTGAAATCATTTTTCCTTTTTCTCACAAAAGTGTGTTATCAATAGATCCTTTTGAAAAACATTTCAACAAGAAAACTAGAGAGGCGAGTCTCATACCAAGCCCTAGGAGCTTGTTTCAACCCATATAGGCTTTTTGTTGTACCGTAAACATGATTAGGAAAAGCATGAATCTATAAAACCGGGGGTTGCTCACATACACTTCCTCTTCCTACTAAAACCATTTAGAAGCACTTTTGACCATCCCATTTGAAATAGTTTGAAATTTTAAAACTAGCAAATGCCAAAAACATCCTAATAGATTCCAACCTTGCAAGCCGTGGCAAAGGTTTCATCATAGTCTATGCCTCCTCTTGATTGTATCCTTGGCAACCAAACGTGCTTTATTTCTAGTTACAATGCCATGTCATCAAGTTTGTTTCTAAAACCCATTTTGTACCAATTACACTAGCATTGTTAGGTCTAAAGGAACTAACTTCCAAACTTCATTTCTTGAAAATTATTTAATTCTTCATGCATAGCCAAACCCAAAATTCATCAATTCAAAGCATCATTAACTTTTTAGGTTCTAGTTGAGATAGAAAGTCAACATTACCACATTCACTCAAGGCTTTTGAGCCGAGTTATAACTCCTTTTGAAGGGCTCCCAATGATTTGTTCCTTTGATGATTTGATGTGAATTTCCAAGCTTTAGGTGTTCAACTTGATCTTGAGCGTTTGTGCTATCCAATCCTTTTGAACTTCCTATAGAGGCGAGTGTCATTGATTTGCAACAAATCCAATCCTCCCTCAATATCATCATCATCATCTTTCCTAGGCAACACATCGGTGTTCGGAGATGGCAGTCGCAATAAACTTCATAATTCTGCCAGCAATTTTCTGATATCATGGTCATGTCGGGGCAGCAAATTGAAGACAATGGAAATTTTATAAATGCTGAAAATGAGAATGCTTGGATTAATTGTGGATTAATTGTGAGGCCACAAGGTGAATTTATAGCCACCATGGCCCTCTACTAGCCGTTGCTACAGTATTCCGACTATGATTTTTGAAATCTGCAGTTTGAGGCTGGAAATATCCGTTGCTACAGTGATTCCATCAATAAATGTGAAATTATGGTTGCTTCTAGCCGTTGCTATAGTAAGTTTTTAAATGTTAAAGAGGCTAGCTGTTGCTACAGTATCTATTCCCAAAAAATGGGTCTTTTTGAAGCAAACATGGTATTAGGAATTGGACCAATTCTATAAAAGTAAGATTCCTAATCCTTTGGGGTGAAACAAACGTAGAATGCCAAAAAATAAGATTCCATAAAACTAAAACTTGTCTATAAAAATTTTATGGATTAGGTTGGAATCCATAAATAAAGTAGGATTCCTAATTCTATTCCTACACTCTATTGAACCAAACAGGCCCTAATCTATCTCCCCTCTCCTTCCTCCAATTTTCTCTGAGAAAAGTTCAACTCATTCTAGATACTTTCCCCCCTTTGACCCCCTTCTCCAAGCAAAGCCAAACAGCAAAAAATCCAGTCCCCCGCGACTTTAAAACCACACAAACGACCCAAATAAAATAAAATAAAATAAATTGATCGGAGAAGGAAGGAAAAAAAAAAAACACACTCATAGAAGAAACGTCGTCACTGTCACATACTGCGGCCTAGCCCGTCCGAGTCTCCCACTCCTTCTTCTTCCGTCCGATAAACGACCGCCTCCCTCCTCCCTCCCTCTCCCTTCTCCCGCGTCCAAGATTCTCCGTCGTCGGCGTCGCAACGTCGCGCATGGCCATCGCCCAGACCGATCCTCTTCTCCTTTTTTCCCCGACCTCTGCGACGCAGCTCTCGCCTCCCTGCCGACGCCAACTCCGCGACAAGCTCCGCGGCGAGATGCTCGACCTCCAGCACGCCGCCGCTTTCCTCCCCGGAACCCGGATCTCGTCGTCCGTCGATTACTCCGTCACTGCTGGGTCCCACCTCTGCATCATCACTGCTGGCGCCCGCCAGATCGCCGGCGAGTCCAGGTAGTTTACTCGCAACTGCATACTACTGTAGATCAACTTATTAAACGAGTATAGGGGATACACTTTGTATAAGTTGCTAATATTTTGAAATAGGTCGATATCGATCGACATGCAATTTTTTTATAGTTTTTTGACTTTTTTCTTTTTATTACTCTCAGGCTGGATCTGGTGCAGAGGAACGTTGCCATGTTTAAGAAGATCGTGCCCGAGCTCGCGAAACAATCACCGGCGTCCACGATCTTGGTGGTGTCGAATCCAGTGGACGTGCTGACGTACGTCACGTGGAAGTTGTCCGGTTTTCCAGCGGGTCGGGTTATTGGATCGGGTACTAATCTGGATTCGTCGAGGTTCAGGTTTTTGCTGGCGGATCACCTGGAGGTCAATGCCCAAGATGTGCAGGTAATTGCTTTTTTTTATCCCCCCCTTTCCTTTAGATTTTGTTTTGTGGGTTTGTTGAGATTATTCATTAATTAAATCAGTTTGATTAATTAATACACACGTTGAAGCAGAGATGATGGGTGCCCTTTGTGCGTCTGACTCTCTATGGGCAAAAAGTAGAGAACAGAGCACGTGGTGGGCTATGGTCTGCACGTGACGGATTTTCAAAGGATGCCTGTTAAATTTGGATTAGATCATAGATGGGAAGGGGATTAGTCCCTCAGCGAAACTCTTTAAACCTTGGGCACTAGCTATTAGTTTTTAGTAGCGAGGTCTGGTTGATTTGCTCCCATAAATATACATGGTGGAACTTCTAAGATTCAACATAGGTTAAGATGCTATTCTATGTAGATCATTGATAGATATAGAAGCAAATAATAGAATACTTTGTGGATAATTATCGTTTATTATTTATCGAGTATTATTGATTCTTTCTATCTAAGTATAAAAGTAGAGTGATTCTGATACTTTTATTTAGAACTAATCATAATCATTTTAGATAATAGGTAATTATTGTTTAGAAAGTATTATCAACTAAGCAATGATTATTATCCAAATTAGAAAGAAAGCCTGACTAGACTCTGATGTTTGTTTAAAGGACAAATTTTTGAAAACAACCGTTTTGCAAAATTAATGAGCAAAATCGACCTCCTCATAAAAAAAACTGCAAAATCGACCTCTTTTATTTCAATAGGGTCGATCTTGCTGCAGATGATTTTTTTCAAACCAGATGGGCGGGACTAGTAGTCCCGTCCATTTCGTGCCAAATCCTCGTCTCCCAACCACCTCCTTCTCCTCCGTCACCCACCTCGACCTCTCCCCCTCAAACAGCCACGAAACTACCATGGAAACAAAAAACTTGAAAATCAAAAATCCTAATTCACCAAATCTATACAACTGCAAAGCCAAAGTAAGAAAAACACTGGATTTGCATTCACTACTGCAGCCGGAATTGAAATCAGAGCTTCCTCTGTTCTTGCTCTCACCAATTCCCATCCTTCACTGTCCCCAGCCAACACCCTTATCCTCTCCATCGCCAGTCTCGTCAAATCATCATCAACCTCCTCCTCCTCCTCCTCCTCATCGTCGTCGTCGTTGTCAAATTCTGAGCTGACCCAATCAAGAACACACCTTGGCGAAAGCTCCGGTGCAGTCTCCGCCTCAAGAAACGGGTGCCGGAGCAGCTCCTCCGCCGTCCACCGCTCCTCCGACCTCCTCTTCAAGCACTTGTCGAGAAAATCTCGGACCTCGCGCTCGCCGGACGACACACCGGGTGATAACAACTTGTGTTGTTTGAGGGGAGGAAAGAGGGGAGGGGGCTATGAGATCGGAGGAGGAGGGGGGGCGATATTTTGAGGGGAGGGGCTCACGGGTGGGGAGATCTGTTTGAGGGGAAGGGGCTCACGGGTGGGGAGGTGGTTGGTGTATATACCAAATGGACGGGACTACTAGTCCCGTCCATTTGGTTTGAAATAAATTGCCCGTGGCAAAATCGACCCTGTTGAGATAAAAAAGGTCGATTTTACTGTTTTTTTTATGAGAAGGTCGATTTTGCTTATTAATTTTGCAAAACGGTTGTTTTCAAAAATTTGTCCTTGTTTAAATTGTTAAAATAAAAGAAAGAGGACTTTACAAAGAGCCACCCCTAAGTTAGGCCATATTTCAAGTTACCAACATTAAGTACTCGAGTTTCAAGAAAGTTCAATCACTCCTATATATCATTCCATCGACATATAACCACCTTTGTGGGGAACCATCCTAAAGTTCAAGATTCTATTTTAGGAAACCACCTCTAAGTTTGGGTATATTTCTTGGAACGACTCTTAATTACCTAAGTTTTAACGTACCACTAGGGGTGTCAAACTGTATCCGTATCCGAGGAAATATCTGTAACCGTATCCGTTAAGATACGAATATGGTTACTCAAATCTATTACCGTTAGGATATGGTTGCGGATATGGTTTTGTAGTGAAATATCCGTATCCGTATTCGAAAAAATTTGAATACATATTGGTAATACTCTTATGATAGTTTTGATTCTTAGATTATGGATTTGTGGTTAATTTTGATGATTAAGATGTCTAATCTTAGCTTTTCAATCATAATGAACATATTAACGAACTCTTTTTGTATCACATAACTATATTTTTCTGAATATTATCCAGTTTTCTCATATCCTTTTTGTATCCGCATGCATATCCGTTTATATATCCGCATCTATATCCGTAGCCGTATCCGATTTTGGCGGATATGGATATGAATTTTTCTTACCGATGTATATCCATATCCATATCCGTATCCGAGATGGGTAAACGGATATGGATATGGTAAGTGCCATATCCGAGCCGTATCCGCTCCGTTAACACCCCTACGTACCACCCTTAATGACAATCATCTTCATTGTCCTCTCCTCCCTTTAGTATCATTTTAATTACAATCATCTTAATTGCAACCAAGTTCAAAATTGATGCAGAGAAAAATATGAAAAATGATTTATCATTTCAAACCCGAGATAAGTCCTAGAATCCTCTAGACATAAACATGGAATCCGCCAAAAACAGGAGAAAAATCTAATATTATTATAATAATAGTCAAAACTTGGAACTCGATAACCCTTTTACAGGTAGGGTTTATTACAACTGGAAAGGATGTAAAAATAGAAAAAAGAACTAAATTAATATCAATAAAAAAAACACACCCAAAATCTTTGGAGTCCCGTAACTCCTGCTAGAGATGGAATTTGGGGTCAAAACTGGAGTGCAATGAACGCTAGTTTATCAAATATGCTGTAGAGCTCTAAATAAGCTCTATAAATTAGGATCGATCGTCCAGTAACTCCTCATGGATCAATTGTTATGACATTCTGAAATCATATTGCTCCTGTAGGCACCCGACCCGAGCTATTGGATTTATGATGGTCCAATCAATTCAAAAAGTCAATGAAAACATGTTCTACATCAAAATACTCTCAATCGCAATAATTTTCATTTTCCGCATCAATGTTATAGAAAGCAGTAGGCAGACTAGACATTCGAGTAAGCACCTAGACACCTAGATGGATGCCTAGGCGTTTGCCTTTTTTAAATTAAATAATTATAATACATTAAAACAGTGAATAAATTAAAACAATAGTGTAAATTTTTACCTCGAAGAGAAGAGGAGGTTGAGCCGTTGAGAGAGAGAGCAGCTGCGGCGGCTTGTTTAGAGCGAGGAGTGCGGACATCAAGATGGAGAGTGGTAGTGACGACAACTATGAGAGTTCATTGAGAGGAGACAGTGGGTCACGTTTGGGTTTATGGGTTCGGGTTTGCCTTTTGAAATGGGTTTGGGTTGGGCTTCTAAGAAAAAATTGTTCTTCTTTTTTAAAAAAAAAAAAGCCATACGCGCCCCGCCTAAGTGGATCGCCTAGCCGTAGGCATCCCGCCTAAGCCAGCACACCTGCCGAGCCTGCCTAGGCAGAACTGCCACCTAGATCGCCTACTCCGGCCAAGGTGGTCAGAGGCCCACTAACACTTAGGCGGAAACCTAGGTGTCTGTTTAGGTGTTATTGGCTATAAAATAACCAAGTGTTTATCTCTGCTGGGAAGCTGACGCGTATCCCACTTCACACTTAATCAGATTACTCCTGCACCCAACAACTCAAGTTGTTCCTGCGGCCGACTCCATAAGCTGACAACCTACGTGACCGACTCAAAATGCGATACTTGTCGACCTATTCTCCAGGTCAAGCCCTCAAGACTCCACACTCGACCCGCTATTTTAGTCGACAACCTACGTAACAGACTAAAAAAGTGGTGTTTATTGGCCTTCAGTCAGACAACTAGAGAGGCGGTATGTCCTCGAACTCCCTGTCGGAAACCAACTAATAATCGCCTTAAATACACTGTCAGAGTCATCATTGCTCTAGCTCACATAGTCTTCATGACTCATCGGACCTAGCTAACGCCAAGTAGCTGCTGTCACCCTCACAATAATTGCTTGGATGACTCATCCTTGTCTGTGGCTGATAGGGCTGTGCAATCGGTCGGTCGGTTCGGTTTTTGGCCAAATTTGGCCAAACCAAACCGAACTGCCTATCATTCAAAACCAAAGTGAACCGATTCAAATTGGTTCGGTTCGGTTCGGGTTGGTTTGTTTAGTTTTTACTTAGGTACAAATGTTATGTCCAAATTTAATTTCACATCTAATCTGTTGACCCAGAAAGAAGTCTCTTACACTTCAATTTATTAAAATTCATAAACTATTAAATACTATTGAATATTAGATGTAGAAATCAAAATCTTATTCCTACCAAATATTACATAATTTTTTTAGAGAAAACTTACATAAAAAATTAAAGTGATCTCAATCTGATAAACAAAGTAAATAAAAAATATATAATAACTTGGATGTTGGGTATTGTTTCTATAAAATTATAAGTCTGATCCAAAGAGAAGTCTAATCCAAAAATATATCAATTGAGGAGAAATATCAGAAAAATGTTAGAATTAACATTATGGTTTAAGTTTCTTACCTCCAAAGTGGGTTGGTCAAAAGTAGAAGAAGCGAATACGTAATAGAGAGTGATAGAGAACTAAAGATAATGAAAAGCCCTAGAATTGGAGAGAACACTATTGTTGCGGTATTTTATCTCTATCAGGTTGCGTGAGAGAAAATTATATTAAGCTGCAAAGAAGTAACTCTATATAAACTATAATAGGTCGGGTTGAATCGTATGTAAATAGTAATTAGAATGGGTAATACAATTCGGTCGGTTCAGTCGGTTCGGGTTGAAAGAACTTCAACCCGAACCGAACTCTAATAAAAACCAAACCGAACTGTTAAATTTCATCCGGTTTAGTCTGTTTGTTCAGTTTGAACCGAACTATGTTCACCCCTAGTGGCTGGCACCTGTAAAAACACCTGTCGAGTCAGCTGCTTGCCTGGACTCTGCTACAGTTACCTTCATGCCCTTCCGACTT